TAATGTATTTATTTAAACATATCACAATTTCAACTAGGATTAATTAAGTAACCAGTTAACCAATTTATTTATATATGTTTGAACAGGATAAACATAAAAATAACATTCAATAAAGATTTGAATCATCAGAATATTTTGCACTAAGCAGTAAACTTAACTTATATAACTTGATGACGATTTGATTTCATTTCGTGAACATAATATAAAACAACAATGCAGAAAGCCATATTGTTTTTATTAAAAAGTAAACCCACCATAATTATAAACAAAGAACCAAATATAAACAAGATATTTTTACTGGGCCTTAAGCAATCTCCAGTCATGTGACTATTCTTTCATACTGTATGTATATTCCTGTGTATAGGTAAGCTACTTGTACCTGATGATGACAAAACATTTTTCAAAGTTGTACCTTTATTATTGATAAACTTTAACAGAGTTTTTTGTTACTATTTATCCTTTCTCTAAAGTGTATAAGCTCACTTTATCCCAAATTATCTGATGTCTTACCATTGAAGAATGCTTTTGTAGCTTTCATACAAATATAATTTAGCACAAAATACTTTCACAATTGATGAACAAAAGAACTTTTAAAGAAACTATAAAAACTATTTAACGTGTATATTTACTATGACATCAGAGTCTAATTCTTGTCCTATCCAGTCATATTTTAGCTATCTTTATAGCTGTTTTCAAAGCTGTGTTTTATTAGTAAGTGATTAAATCACTTGATGTGTGTGACACCATACATGGTGGCAACCAAGGTCTATACAAAAAATTTAGGGAAATGCTTGAAAATCAAGAAATGGATACTAAATTCCCAAAAAATCAAGAAATGGATAATAAATTTTCAAAGGGTAAGAGGTTTTTTAATAAAAGTAGTTAATCTTTAGGATGGGTAGAAAAATTCTTAAAAGAAAATTGAATGTAGGCAAAACTCTTCACAGCTGTACAGAAATTAAAGTATGAACTTTTTCATTTTACTTCATGAATTACATTAAATAAATGTCAGAAAATTACAAAATATTGATTCTGAAGTACTTTTGAGTTTAAAATGGTTGAAGTATAGTTAGAATTAGCATATAACATTAACTTTAAAATTTGTATCTCAAAAGAAAATTAAAAAATAGTAAAAAAGTATGAAAATGCAGATGAAACCAGTCTTAAGACTTCAGGTTTAATAATTTAAAATCAAGTTACTTTTTAATCCTACATTTTGTGCATGAAAATATATCATATATGTAAGTTACACAACTGCATTGTTTAAAGTTTATAAGCAATGAAAGATTTATTAAGTTATCAGTCACCTTTTGCAACAGTATTGTTACGACAGCGGGGTCACGTGATGCTAGTAACACGTCATATTCTCGAACGTTCACGTCCCTTCCTGAAATCTCGAGAGCCTACTAGATATGCGGTAGTCTTGTATATATATAAACCGGTCAAGATGTGATGGCAACAATGTAGTTGAACTGCAGACAGAGAGATATATTGTTGAGTCGAGCACGTGAGGTATTCATTGTGAATTATAGCGTTTCTTATAGCGCGACTGTAGAAATTAAGTGTATTGCAAAGTTGTATTCAGAAAGAATAAACCAGTTTTATTTGAGAAAGGACTTGTATTGCTAAAGTTTCTTCGGAAAGAATTTTTACAGAAAATTAACTAATGACCGGAAACGTAACAGTATTGTTTATATGTTTCCAGGCTTGTTATTTTAGACAATTCAATATTGTTTTAATGTTCAGAAGCATGTTAACAACAATGTTGGTGCCCTTAAAGTGTATCTATAACTACACATTTTCTCAGATGTTTTATAAACAACCAAGAGAGATGAATAATTACAACTCATTTTATTTATTAGGCAGATACCAATATAAAAACCTAGTATTTTTAGAAATTTTTGAAATAGCCTAAATTTAAAATCAAACAACTTAAAGATTGGAATAATATCAATTTATTATGTTAAATAAAGCCTTTAATAGCTATAACTGTATCTTGCAAGGTTTAAAAACCATTATGGAATGAATAGAACTATAAAGACTGTTCAGATAATATAGTATTATTGTGTTAACAAGTAACAACTGTGTCTAACTTCTCTATGCTAGCAGCAGTAATGTATCATTTTTACAATGATGGTATGATACTAGCTTTTTCAAAGCTAGCTGTTTTACACTGTAACCAATTTTTCAGTATCTTTTACATGAAAGATGATAATTCTATTATAATAATAATATAGTATTTTGGATTAATCAGTGCTGACCATATAGTCCTTATGTAACTTAGATAAGTCAAACAAAGTTAATGTAGCATTAATATATTCTGTAAATGATTAGTTCAGTCAGGATATAATCCAGTAATTTCAAAGCTTATATTCTAATTTTAGTAATGTGATAGATATTAAAATAAAAGCATTTAAAATACAAAATTTATTTTTTTTAAATTAAAAGTTAATAGCTATAATTATTGATAGAATTATAATCATATTTATAAAAAATATAACATTTGTTTGTAAAGATGATGCCTGTTTTTAAATATTATTTAAAAAAGTCATTACTTATATAGTCATACCACTTGCATTATTAACTTTGATGAAAACAAGTCTCTAAAGTTTAAATATATTGCTATTGTGTCTGGAAAAAGCAGGTCCTAAAAATTTACCATGGCAGTACTTAATTGATGTACATGTTATTGTATGAGTTTAGAAATAATCGGTTATTGGCTAAAGCCTGGATTGGATTGCTTTAGACTCTAGCTGTGTTGATTTCAGAAAACTTCGAAAAAACCTTTATGGTAATTAATAGCCCAATTACATGAAACACTGACATCTGGCAGTTTTCTTATTAATTTCTGAAAAACATGGAGGGGAGAGGTCCAGACTCCATGACCCCTCTAGTAGATCCTCATCTGCTTATACAACATTAAGGAATGCATTTATTATTTTTTGGAAAAAATGGGTAGTGAGGAGTCTGGACCTCCTCAAACTCTCCCCTAGATCTGCACCTGCTTATACAACAATAAAGAATATAGTTACATAATTATAAATTGCAAACATAACACAATGTAAAAAACAGTAAATTTACACTTAATTAATCAAAGAGTTTATGGTGGGTGTTGCCAGCCATTTACTTTACCTCTAGTCAGTAGTTTAAAATTAGTAACAGTAGCAGATAGCCTTATGAACTTTGACATAACATAGACAGGGCGAGTAAATTTGATGGCAAGGGTAATCGAACATGAGACCCTCAAATTACTAGGACTCTCACCCCTTTGAATCATCAGTCTATGCTGGCCTGAAGCTGAACAAACTTCAATTCAAAAAGCAGTACATTATATAACAATATAATTGGGTTTCTATACTTTCAGTGGGAAGAGCAAAGATAACACATTATGGAGCTTTGTGTTTAACAACAAAAAACACAATGGTGATATTTTGATTACTTAGACAGTTGGAATAACAAAAAACAGTAATAATCAGAAGCACTAATTTCTATGTTTTTGTCATTTTTGATACAATCAATTTAATCTAATTTTGATTAATGCAATGTTAGAATAATCAAAAACAGTAATAATGAGAATGACTAAATTTGATTTGTTGATTATTTTTATGATAATTGACTTAATCATAACTTTGATTAATCTGTTATTGGAATAATCAGAAACTGTAGTAATTGAAAGCACTAATTCCAATTAGGTGATTATTTTCTTGACATTGATTTAATTGTTATTTTGATTAGTAGAAAAGGTTACATGACAGTAATCGATTAAATTGTCCAGTTCTGATATCCAGAATTTGTAGATTTCATAATAATTACATTAATTTTATAACATTTATGTTTAATATGGATTATGTTAAAAACTTCCTATTAAGAGAAATCCCAAAAGAGTGTTTTATTTCACTAAAATTGTATTTTTATATATAAGTACAGTTCATAGGTTAAAAAATTTCATAAAATATAAGAAAAACAATTAAAATCAATTATTATGTCTTTTTATTAGCCAAAATTTACCAACATTTTAGCTTTCACAATTCATATTAATTGTAACATGCATCATTTTGCTTTTGAATTGCAAAAAAAAATGTTTATTAGGATAAGCAAAGGATTATGCATGAACATACATATACATAATATTCTATATATGCTGTTTAAAAGACTTGGTTTGTAAATGATTGGTCAATAATTTGCCCTTGTGGAAACTGATATGTTTAAATATTGCCTCTACTTCTTGAAATCACCAGTTTGTACTTAACTGGTCTAACCAATGCAATTATATACACTTGTATGTAATATCTGTCTGAATATTTCATGAAATGACAAGTAGCTTATGTAATTTTTATCATTGGAACATAACTGAAAATGGAAAGAGCCCAATATTTACTGATTATCTTACCAGTAAATGATGTGAATATTTAGTTCTTCAAAATGGCCTAAAATGCAGTTGTGCATTTAGACCCCTATGGCACCCTAGCCTTTATGTGATAAGATCTAGGATCAGCCAAAAGCTCATTTGTTGTTCTCATCCCATTATGTTACAAGGAATTCATTATGTATAAAACTTGTCCTTTTAAACTATTTTACAAAAGAGCAACATGAGAAATCTACCACACAATTGTATTGCCCTTTTTTCTTGTAAAACTTTGATAAAAACAATTCTTCGAAGAATTAATTTTTCTTTTTTGGTTAAATTGAAGAAAATAAGGTAAATGAAAACACATGCAGATATATAATGAAGCTGCTTCTCAACATAAGTTTCTCATTAACTCTGTCGTTATTGTAGTTCATAATCATTTAAACTCTATACTTCTTTAAAAATTTTCTTCTCATAAAGCATAGATTCTTTTTGATAGTAAATGACATTTCGAAAATGTACATATATTAGAAATATGGTCTAGTGCGTATGAAAATGCTTAATAACTTCAGACATCATTTAATAAAGTATGATAGATGGAACACTATGCATACTTACTAGTTTCTGCATGAAATCTTGTTATTTTTTATAGATAAATTGGAGGAAGAAGACCAGTTTACAGAAAGTTTATCTCCTGTGGAGAAAAGAATCATCTGTCGAACAATGACTCAACCTCCTGATACTTTTGAATATATTGTGAGTTTATTCAGATTAGTAATTCCAGTTTTTGTTTTTCTTAAATTCAAGATCGGCATAAAGCACCATAAATATGGCTTATCATTTAAATGTGTACGAAAATTCGTACAAAAATCATAGTATTTTTAAGAATAATTGGAGTTTGCATAAGCCTTCCAAATCAGTGTCAAATGAATTAGACAAAGCACAAAGTGAATATCCACTGCTCATTTTAGTAACACAATTGTTGCTTATAAAGCAATGCATCTGTATATAAGTATTGATTGAAATACAAGCTATTGAAAACAAAAATCTTTATTTTCAGTAATGCAGTGTTGATAAATAAGAAATAAAATAACAAAAAATACCATAGGCATTACTTATTCTTTTGTAAAAAATAAAAAAATTGCATACTGCTCTTTATAGTTGACTCATTTTATGTTTTTTTCCTAGTTTTTTCCTTTTTTTGAAATGATGTAGGTATTGTCATTTTTATTTGGTGAAAAGTAAAGGAAGTAAAGAAGCTACTAAACATGTTTTATACCACAACCAAGAATCAAGGTCAAGGCCTAATTGGACATCAAACAAACATTCTTTAAGCTGCTTCTTGCAGTTTTGCTAAAATGGAATAAAAGACAAATTAACCCTTTCCATACAGGTTGGGGGCTGAGCATATATCATCATACATATCATCACGTTTGTAGACTTACATTCAAATTTTTATTAAACTACTATTTTATGATTGTATATCCATAAATTCTGGAATCAAATTGTAATTTGTTATCCAAATTTTAATATTTTACATTATTTAATTGTTTAGTTCGAAAGTATATATTAAAAAATTGCTAAATATCAACTTTTTGTGTGTCATATGGTACTTCATCTTCTACATTTGCTCAGATTATATTGTGGGTATCGTAAGATGTAAATTATACAGTTTTTAATAAATTAGGAACTCAAATTACCAACATTCACAAACTACAATATAAAATTAGAACCTCCTATCTTTTATATTTGCTGAGATATCATTAGGTCTAGTAGACCCACCACAGTGGCTCAGCCCACCTCTTTCTCTTTTGAAAATTCTTGTTTAACTCTGCCTTCTTCTCTTAAGTATATTGTTACACCTCCAGTCGTTAGTTAATTTTCCATAAATTCGTTCCGACGAAACTTTAGCAACACAAATCCTTTATTAAATAAAACTGGTTTATTCTTTCCGAATACAACTTTACGATACACTTTATTTCAACAGTCGCTCTGTAACAAACGCTATAATTCTCAATGAACTTCTCACGTGCTTAACAATATTCTTTCTGACTGCAGTTCAATTACTCATTACACTGTTGTTCCGTCACATTGTGAATGTCTTATATATATAAGACTAACACATATCTAGTAAATGCTAGGGCATTCTTGAAGGAACAGGATATTTCTAGAAAGAGGTGGTGTGATACTAGTCATGTGACCTCGCTGACGCAACACTGCCCCCTCCTTAGTATTGTTCGTCCCAAACAATAGCCAATAACAATAAACCAATAACAATTAACAATAACTTAATTAAATGTACAGAATCACAAAAACAAAATTACAATTCAACAAAGTCTCTTAATTTTATGGGATGTATTTTTTTCCATACTGGTCTCCGTCTCGTCGGCTTCTGCTTCATATGGGGTTCATCTGCTTCATCAGGAAATGTCCTGTCGTTGATAACAGTCACATCAGTGGTAGAACTTCATCAAAAGCTTCACCGTTTCCCTTCTCAAAACTGAGTAGAGTTTCTTCTTCGACAGTGACACTTCTTCAGCAGCATCATTTGTTCCTTTGTTCACTTCGTCCCAACTGAAATGTTCTGGA